TTAAGATGCTAAATTCCTTTATGAATGATTAGTTTGTTTTCTTTTTTTGTATTTAATATTATATATCCGTTACGTTTTTTTGTAATTTTTTATCGTATCCAAAATTTAATGACAAAAAGCTTCAATGCAAAGTTATTAGAATAAAATATAAATAAGTATTAGGAGTATTATATTCATATTTAGAATACTATATGGTGAAATCTACAATAATTACAAGAATTACTGACGGACTACCATTATGTGCATCTGTCGATGATAAACATTCTGAAATAGAGTTGCAACAACAAAAACAACAAAGTAAAATTATATTTCGAAAGTTAACTGTAAATTCTGAGATAAGGGCGTCAATTGAATCTGGGCAATATTTTTTACAGTAAGATATTTGTTTGGAATACTTTTACTTAATTAAATAGTTATTTTATTGATAATAATGTTTGTTATCTTTGTATATGTGATAAGTCATACCCAAGAAAACTTGCTTTTTCTTATTTAAACGAAATATCAGAAGAATTTTGGAAGACTTATGGAAATGACGCTATGAAATTATCTTTACGACCATATGCTTTTGTACAATTTGGTTTGTATTAATATTTATAGTAATGGTTTTTTAACATTAAAGTAGATATATCTATACAAAGAATTATGCGTTTATATCTTGCTCCACGTGCTTCTTCGAATCTTGATAAACTTAATAATGAACTTCAAGATGTTACACGTGCTATGACAAAGAATATTGAAGACCTAATATATAGAGGTATGTTTGCAATTTCGTATTTAAGTCGCAAGCATAATGTCTTTTTAGGTCATAGCTTGGACAGAATGTCAAATTTATCTTCTGATCTTCGCTATGAGTCAATTAAATACAAAAAAGCTGCTAAGAATATAAACTTTGATGCACTTATACGTCAATATGGGGCTATATGTATAACTGTTTTTATTATTATATTAATTAGTTGGTGGAAATTTTTTTGATCGATAAAATAAAAAATGCATGTAATGTTTTATTATTTTAAGAATAATGTTATATTTATAATAATAAATCATTATCAGGATCTTCTTCATCTATATCATCTTCCGGGTCTGGACTATAATATATTGAGCTTTCTTGATTAATAACTACTATAAATAAGTATTTTATATTTGTGTATATGTTTTTTAACATACTTTGTGATTTAAAGTATGGGAGTGTTAATTTTTCTTTTTGTTTTTTTTGTTTATCTGTGAGTGTTAATTCAAAATTAATATTTAAATTTTCATTTGTTTTGTCTTTAATATGGCCTGTTTCTTTGAATTCTTTAAGATCTGTAATAGATATTATAGTTCCTGTTTTTATGGTTAAGATTGATTTTTCGTTTATGCTTCTTCCGCTTTTGCGGCGATGCTCTGTATTAATAATTATCCTTGACTCATCATTTGAGTCTAAAGGAACAATAGTACCTTCAATAAAAGAATCATTTTCAATTGGTGCTGTTAATGCTTTATTTTTTGCATTTCTAATAGATAATTCATGAGATAATGAGTGAACTGAAATAATTGTTGTAGATATATATGAAAATAATTCAGATGGTGATGGAATATATGTAGGATATGATTTTGGAAGATTTATTGATGAATGATATATTTGAATTAGTGTTTTTGAAACTATACTTATTAAATAAAAATGTTAAAAAAATGTGAAAGTAATACTATGTAGTGAAAGAATTGATGATATTATTTCTGAAATATTTGGTTTTTTTGACATATTATATACATCAATAGAATCTATAAGTATAACGAATTTTTGAGAGGTTTCTAATATAATCAGATAATATGAAATATCTTGATAGTTACCATATTTTCCACATATATCTTGAATATTGTTTATTATTTCCACAAAATCCTTTTTTTTAATTGTTTTATTTTCTCTATAAAATAATGGTATACTATAATCACTAATTGCTTGATTAATAATGTTAATTCCAGTTTTTATGTGTATTGATATAACATTACTATTTTTTTTAGTTGATACATTATTTTTTTTACTTACTGGTATTTTGCTTCTTTTAAAAATTGAAAAACAAGTGGGTATGAAGATTGTAAAATTGTATCAGAAATTGTTATAAGAGGTGAAAATTCTTTGAATGTTAATAAACGTTTAATAATTAATGATGGTTTTTTCTCCATTAATTTTAAAAATATTATATAATTTTAGTATATATAATATGTATAATATGTATGTAATTATAATATATAATTTTTTCGAATGTAATACGATTTATTGTATACATTTAATTAAATAGGTTTAAAATTCAAAATATTATATTATTTAAATTATGTAAAAATATGTAAAAATTATAATTGATGCTAGTTATTGAATTGAATATATGCTTATTATTATTAATAACATATATTTATTAACTGTATACATATTTTTATATATGTAAATTATATAAAGATAATTTCATGATTTTAAATTTACTATATAATAAAATAGTACTTAATAATTTCACAATAATTATTATATATAAAAGTATCTTAATCAAAAATCTTAAGTGATTAATTAATGAATTTTTAATTAAATTTAATTATTTAAAAATATTTTTATTTATTAATAATATAATAAAAAAAATGTATACACTATATACACTTTTAATATTTTAATATTTATTTAATATTTATTAAGTATATTAAATATAATCAAATATAATCATATAGAATATATACTATTGTAATTAAATGATTTTATAAAAATTATATAGTGTATATATATAATACATAAAATATTATATATCTATAATTGAATAATTAATAAATATTAACATAGTAAATATTATAAAATTATATATATTATATATATTGTATATGAAATTTACTATAATTATCAAATCTCATTAAGAAATTTTTCTTAGTATTTAAAATATATATTATTATACTTTTTAAATATGTTTCATTTATTCAAAGAATACATTATTTTTTATAACATTTTTATAATTTTATAAAAAAAAGAAAGATTACTTTATCGAGATTAATTGTTTTAAAAATTACAAATTTGATCTTAAAATATTTTAATTTTTAAATTTTTGTAGTGGTATTTAAAAACGTTTAAGTTATAATTAACATATATCCTAATAATTTTAAATAAATCTAAAAATGCAAAAAACACCATTTCCATCAACATATAAGATTAATGCACAATGTCAGGTATTATAATATATATACGTACGTAAAACTCATAAAATAGAAATGTCTTAAACATGGACATTGGACTTATGAATGTAAAAATCCGGTTATTTATAAATCTCGTCCAACTAGAACACAAGAACTTAAGAATAATATGTTATTACAAAAAAATATAGAAAAATAGATTAAATATTGTAAACTATATTAATTTTTACAAAACTTACTATTTTAGGATAATTAGAATAGAAAAAAAAAAACTATATATTATTATAAATTATATTATTAAACTATTTAGAATAATTTCGAAATTTTATCAATTATAAGTGTATAAAATCTTATTTTTTACATGACTATTAATATAAAATCAAAAAATATGTTACAAAAAAAAACATTTTATGATATATAAAATGTATATAATCAAATTAAAAATGCTACATATAATAAAAAATTATAATATCTATCATTTGAATATATAATATTCAAATAAAATATTAATATATGAAAATTATATTTATTTATATATCAATATTAACTATTTTTTGTGTTTAGTAATATATTTATTTACAATCATGTTCAATTTCATTACTCTTTATCAAGAGTCGTTCACGAATTAATTTAGCAATTGCAATTTCAGTTCTCTCCTTTAAACGATCAATTTTAATTTGCATGAGTCTTTTTAAATCGCTATTTATTTCCTTAGGTGTTAATCCAGAAATATCAAGTTCATTATAATCAAATTCAATATTTTTTAAATCGTAATCGGCACTCTCTTTCAATTTTTGAGCTTCATGTTCAACTGTTTCATTTCCTTGTAAAGCAGAATTCTCAAAACCTATACGAGGTTTACGTAATTCAGGATCATAATTGCGAAACGAAAGAGGTAAACTATTCAATACATAAATCAGTTTTCTTAATCTAAATTGTTAAATAAATTACCTAGACAAACTTGATTTTTTGTCATTAATATCAGAATGCCCATTATTATTAAATACGTCTTTTACACCATTAGCCTTTAAATCAGATGATATTTTTATTTTTTTTAATTCATTCAATCGCTCTTTTCTTTTAAGAGAAATATTATCTAAAGACATTTTTACGATAAATAAGAAAAAAAATTAAAAAATATCAAATTAAAAATTATATAAAATATAAAATATAATATCATTAATAATAATGAAGATAGTAACAACTAAATATATTTTTATTCAATTTAATCAGATATTACATTGTTAAATATATATTTCTAATTATTTACATGAAATTTATTCATTGAAATTAGATTATATTTTATTAACATAAATACATAAGACATAATCAAACCAACTCATGGGTAAAAATTGCATATATTTATTTTTTCATAACTATATAATACAAATAATCCAACTTACTAAAATAAGAAAGTGAATATTACGATCAAATTAAAATATTTGTAATAGATATTTTCGAGTATAGATACCATAACTATTATCATTTACAAAATCCCAACAATCAAAAATATATTATATCCATTAAATAGCGTTACTTTTCTATCTAAATCATGTAAACAATATTTTTTAGTATTATTTTACATATAATTTACATATAAAACTATATAATATAAAACAAGACAAATTACTATAGCACAACGTATTCATGAAATAAAATGATTTTAACAAAGAATCAATAACATTGTATGCCAATTTCTCTAAAAATATTATTTAAGAAAAATAGATAATAAAAAAAAACAATAATTATATAAAAATAAGTATATTGAAAAAACTTATTTTTAAAAAATATTATATTCAAATAAACACTAAAATTCATTATAATTCATAAAAAACATATCATTAGTGCTCATAGGTGCCCGGCTAGCTCAATCGGCAGAGCGTGAGACTCTTATCATTGGAATCTCAAGGCTGTGGGTTCGACCCCCACGTTGGGCGTGTCTCAGGAGTTTGGAGTAGTCTTTAAATTATACATAATGCGTCACTATCTTGCTTTACTGGCATAGGGTTTATTTATCATGAACGTTTGTAGGGTGCGAATTATTTAAATACAATTATATAATGATCTTAAGTTATAGAACGTTAGATAATATGCATTATCTTCACTTCGTAGTTCTAATATTTTAAACATTTTAAAAAATAAATACATTTTTTAATTATTATATTCAATATATATCATATATATTATTTACCATCTAATACATAATACATGCATATACTTTGCTAAAAGTAAAACAAAATATAAATCAAAATTAATATATTTTAAACAATTTTATTTAAACCAACAAATAAATACAAAAATTATGTATATATTTTTTTTCAAATATTTTTTAAACTTCAATACCTTAATTTAGAGATCAACAATATTAATAACAATTTTTTAATTATAAATTTAGGCATAATAAGATTAAAAAATTATTTAAATATTATTTTATACAATAAAAAACATCATAATACACTATTTAAACACAAAAATAAACAAAAAGTAAACTGGAAAATGCATTCCTTATATAAGCAATCATAATAACAAAACTTCAACTACAAATAATAATAAAAATCGTACAATTCAATATTAAATAGCTTAAAAATTATTATAAACATTAATTATTTAAAAATCCAACCTTTTTACCATTTTCCCTAAAAAAAGATTCATAAATCATATCATTTTCAGAAGAACATAAATTATGATTTAACTCACAATACACATTATGCGTTTAATTTGTCTTTTTATGACGCAATTTTGTAATATCAATAAAATCAACAATACGAAAAGCAGGAAAACATGATGTTTTAGTTGTAAATGTTACAAATTTAGACCCATGACGAAATATACTAATACGGTACCAAAAAGATGATGTACTGGTTTGTTTACGAAAACTTTTCTTCTTTGAAAATATAATCTTATCAAAAAAGTTAGTTATTGATGAAAATCAAACTCTACATCGAAAATGATGTGATTCAATCATTTCATTACATAGGATATGTTAACTCCAAAGATTTTTATTATAAAAAACACAATAACTATAGTATCTTAGTATTGTATAATCATTTAAAAATTATAAGGGAGAAAGAAATGATATAACTTTCATAATTTTTCTAAATGACCCTTTTTTTTAATATCACTTTAAATAAATAGCAAATTCAAATATCGAGATCAAAACAAATGTTATAAATATTATTTAATTATATTTTATTGTATATAAAAACTAGACAATAAAGATTAAGATTATCTCAAATGAAAGATCATATTTGAAATCTTAAAAATTATGTAATCTAATACGTTTTTTTAAATTATATTAAATTTCAATTTAATAAACAAACCAAAAACTTTTAATATTTTGCTTTAATTACAAACTATTTTTAAAATTAAAACTTTTGTAACTATATAAATAAGATCTAATTTTATAAATTATAACAAAAAAATACATATCAATATATATAAACCATATAAAATATATACGTTTGTACATATAGATTTATATTTAAAATATTTGATATTTTATAAATATAAGTTTATCAACATATTACTATATTTTATTTTTCATATATAAAGTCATTGTGATCCAACAAAACTAGATTTTTATATCAAATTGTAAAAGTAAGATAAAATCGAAATCAAAATAATATATATTATATAATTTTTTTATTATAAAAATACATTTTACACTTTATAATGGTAAAAATAACATAAAAAGTTCATATTTTAATAACTTTAATATTTATTTATAAAAAAAACTATTATTTTTTTTTAAAAATCAATTTTCCTTAAAACTTACATTTAAAAATATCAATATTTTTTTTTCAATATTATTATATATTTAATAATTTCAAACTAAAAACAATATATAATAATTATAACCTTATAATTAAATACCAATTTTTCATCCTTTAATAGAAATTAAATAACAAAACTAGTTTTTTTTATAATTAAATTCATTATATATTTTTTAAAAACAATATAACAATATTGTAGTTATATCACAAATTTAAACGTATTTATCTGAAAATAACATAATTAAAAACATAAATAATTATTTTATATTTTTTTTAATAAGATATAAACCATTTAATAAAACGTATACATCTAAATAGAATTTAAAATTATTGTTGTTATAGCAACATTATCTATTATTAAAACAATAAATTTTGAAATTAATTAAAAAAAAACTTAAAAATCATTCTACACAAAAAACCCAAGATTTTTAAAAATGTCTTTTTAAAATTTATGGATTTTAGTTTTTTACATAATTCTAGTTATATTCCAACATGTCTTAAAGATTATTGTTTATTACAACAACTTGGACGTGGTGCTTTTGGGGAAGTTTTTAAAGCTATTCCATTAAAAGGAACACTAAAAAATACAACATTAGCTCTAAAGATAGTAATTTCAGAAAAACTATATTCAATATATTTTTTTAAATGTTAATATGTTATAGATAAACAAAACAAAATTAACATCCCAAACACGCCGTCGCCGAATTATAAATGAAATTTCTATACATTCATCATTGGAAAGGCACAAAAATATCTTGAATTTCTATACTTCTTTTGAAGACCATCAAAATGTATACATTGTTACACAGCTTTGTTCCCGAGGATCCCTTTACTCATTTATACAAACACAACCATCTCTCCCATTGGAAGAAAATATTGTTAAAGAAATAATGAAGGAAATAGTATCTGGTTTAGTATTTTTGCATTCACATAAAATCGTTCATCGTGATTTAAAATTATCAAATATTCTTCTTGATGAAAATAATGTAGCAAAAATAGCAGATTTCGGCCTTTCTATAGTTCTTCAAAACTTTTCAGACGAAGAAACAATGACATTATGTGGAACTCCAAATTATATTTCACCGTAAAATTACATTTTTTACTTGCATAGTATAATAAATATTTTATAGAGAAATTATTGCACACAAACCCAGTGGATTAGCATCTGATATTTGGTCTCTCGGATGTATCTTCTTTTGTCTTCTTGATAAATCTCCATCATTTAAAGTATGAAGATTGCATTATATTTAAAATTAATATATTTAGTTAGAAAACACATCAAAAACATTAGTCCAAATCATAAATGAAAACTTAGAACAATTGCCTCCTTATGTAAGTTATGAAGCTAAAAACTTAGTAAATAAAATGCTTCAAAAGGTTCAATTTATATAACATTAAATATTTGTTTAATTAACAATTCCAGAATCCGTCAGATCGCATTAAAACAGATCAAATTTTAAAACATCCATTTTTTACTTCAACATCAAATTTAAAAAAAAAATACATTCCAAATCAAAATTATCAATCAACAGAAAATTGTATATTTTCATCAAATTTTAAAAATTCAAAAACTATTAAAGATATATCAAAGTTCATTAAACATATACCTGAGTTAACTATATTCGAAAATAACGAAACTTTCGAAGAAATTGAAAAAAAAAATAGAAAAACGCATCTAACAGAAAAACTACCAAATGTTATTACCAGTCCAATAATTACAACTCCTGAGAAAAAAGCTCTTCAAAGAATTGAAAATATTCTAAATGAAAATAAAAAAAATATTATTTATGATAAAAAATTAAATTCTCCTGTAAAAAATCATTTATCAACATATAGTTTATCTTCAAACTTTAACAGTTTTAATAACAATAATAATATAGATTATAAAAAAAAACCATTTGCAGCCTATTATGCAAAAAATAATATAAATATTTACAAAAATGATGGGAAGTTTAATAACTTATTAAATACAATAAAAAATAATTTAAACAATATATCAGAAGATTGGAATATCGATAAAGAAGAAAATAAAAAAGATTGCATATCTCATATTAATTTTTCTAAAGAATCTATTAACCTAAAAAATGAATATTTTAAAGCTCAACCATTTTCATATATTACTAATTTCCAAAGACTTAGGAATTGTAACACTAAAAATAATGACAAATCTCAATCAAACGAATATTTTTTGTCAGATACTATTCATAAACAAACCTCTGTAAATTTCAATCCAAACAACAAAAATACTTTTTCGGAAAAAGATACCATAATAGGGAATAATTTATATAAAATAGATCGAAATTTTGGCACAGTTCACAAAAATGACTCTTTCATTGAGCCTATATCAGATTTTGCAAAAAAATATCACTTTAATACATTAGGATTAAACGCAATTAAACAAAAAACAAAGCATGCAAATCTAGAGATCACTAAAAAAGGTTATTTACGTCTTTCTTTTCATAATATGAACTGGGAGTGTTTAATAAACTCAGATGGCATTAAGGTATTATATGATTTTATTCTATTTATTTTTAAAAAAAAATAAAGATAAAAATAATTCATAACGACAAACTATCACAAATGTATGAACTTGATGATTTGCCAGCAAAATATCTCAAAGCATATCGATACGCATCTAAATTTATTTCTATTTTAAAATCAAAGATACCAAAAATTATTCTTGATACACCATATACAAAATGTAGATTATACTTTAATTCATTATTTGAAATTCGTTATATTAATAATCAATCAATGATTATTCAACTTGATTCTAAAAAGCAAACAATTAAAATGGCTATTCAAAATAATCCAAAAAACGAAGATATATTATTATATGAAGGAAATATTGAATCAGCATGTAAAAAATTTCCAAAAATAATCTCGGATGTAATAAATCGCTATAAAAGATGCCTAAATTTAGGAAAAGATACAGAAGACGATATTATTGATACTTATACTAAATTTATATCTGGAAAAGGCTGGTGGCAAATTAATAAAAAAATAGGGATAATGATGTTTTTAGATGGATCACAATTGCAAATATATTTTAAACCTAATAACGGTTTGAACACACAATCAATTTCCTATATTAAATTTATTAATGATAATACGTACGAAATTTATGAACTTAATAATAATAAAACAATCCCCGACATTGTAAA